GCTTCCGTCTAAACCAGTGGTTCTCAACCCGTGGGTCGCCCGATTCATCACAGTACCAAAATGACAGTGATGAAGTAGCAACGAGAATCATTTGATGGTGGTGGGGGGGAGGGTCACCACATCATGAGGAACTGTATGAAAGGGTCGCGGCATTAGGAGGGTTGAGAACCCCTGGTCCAGGCACCGCCCTTGCTCAGGCCCATGTGGTACCTGTGGCAGTGCATGGAAACCATTATCCTTGGGCTTGAGCTCTTGCGCTTTATTTGCCTAAAATAACGTAACTGTAGCTCCAACGAAAGTTAGTGGGACCAGCTGTAAAGCTAAGAGGAAAACTGAGAACCACAATGGAATGAAAGAAAGAAATTGTTGTGAAATTTGTATCGGGTGGAACCGCTTGACGGCCGAATACAAGATGGCTAAATTTACATTTTCAACAATTTTGAAGAACAAAAAAAGTGTGATGAAGCAGCTAATGTGTCGAAAAGTGTGAAATCGTTAACCACGAAACCAAGAACCCAGACCCTGGCAGAGGTTGGGAAGTGACCGTGAATTTGGACAGATCCGACGGCACGCGATGGCGATGGGGCAGCGGAGACTGACAGGCGCGAAGGCCGGCAGTCTCCACGGGGACGGAATGGACCATCTGGAAGGAGCATGCACTGAGCAGCCCGAAGGGTTCAAAGCCACCGTCTGGTTTGAGAAATGCAGACAGAGATGCAGCAGAGACAGGGTGCAAGGCGGGGAAGAGGTGAGTGCCCACAAAGACAAGGTGGTACCTTCCTGGCTGAATGTGCTGACTACACGGGGCTCGGGCTTTCCTTCCCCGGCGAGTTTTCAACTGGAATGAAACCAGACTTTTTTTGGGGTGCTAGGGGGTGGGCATAAATGCCCAATAGGAACTTCATTAGTAACGAGGAAGAGGCACTGCCAGGCCACAAAGCTATGACAGATAGGCTCGCTCTGTTGCTGAGTGGGAATGCTGGTGGCATCTTAAAGTGAAGCCCATGTTAGTGTGCCATTCTGAAGACCCACTGGGTTTTAAACAACGAAGCATAATGAAAAATACGTTTCTTTTATTTACGTTGTTCTGATGTTTAATATTCTGTGTTTAAAGGGAAGTTCCACAGCCTAGGGCTGTTAACTTGGTGGTAAAGTCCTGGAAAAAATGAATTTATAAGTATAAATTTGGGGCCTCACAATCAATTATTTGGTTTTCCATTAGTTCTTATGGGGAAAATATGTTCAATCCTCAAACTCTGGGGGACAAATCGAGTTCAACAATGGAGGTATCACTGTATTTTCACTCTTGGTGGCACTACAAGATACTTTTCATTGGATGGAGCTTTTTCTTATTAAAACTTCTCAGACACGATTGGACGTGAGAATGGAATTGACAGTTATCCTCAGTTTTTAATATGAAAGATTTTCTTTTTTTTTTTTCCCCTAGAGGACAGTACGAGGGTAATTAATATAGATATATTGCTACAAGATTATAGAAACTCTTATGAAGTGAAAATACCAAAATGGGAAGCCATGGTTTCTCCACCCAGGTGGATACACACCTACGCCCTTCCTAGTAGAGTTTTGCACTCATTG